GTTGAGATCTGGAGACTGGCTAGGCCACTCCAGGACCTTGAAATTCTTCTTACGAAGCCACTCCTTCGTTGCCCGGGCGGTGTGTTTGGGATCATTGTCATGCTGAAAGACCCAGCCACGTTTCATCTTCAATGCCCTTGCTGATGGAAGGAGGTTTTCACTCAAAATCTCACGATACATTGCCCCATTCATTCTTTCCTTTGCACGGATCAGTCGTCCTGGTCCCTTTGCAGAAAAACAGCCCCAAAGCATGATGTTTCCACCCCCATGCTTCACAGTAGGTATGGTGTTCTTTGGATGCAACTCAGCATTCTTTGTCCTCCAAACACGACGAGTTGAGTTTTTACCAAAAAGTTCAATTTTGGTTTCATCTGACCATATGACATTCTCCCAATCCTCTTCTGGATCATCCAAATGCACTCTAGCAAACTTCAGACGGGCCTGGACATGTACTGGCTTAAGCAGGGGGACACGTCTGGCACTGCAGGATTTGAGTCCCTGGCGGCGTAGTGTGTTACTGATGGTAGGCTTTGTTACTTTGGTCCCAGCTCTCTGCAGGTCATTCACTAGGTCCCCCCGTGTGGTTCTGGGATTTTTGCTCACCGTTCTTGTGATCATTTTGACCTCACGGGGTGAGATCTTGCGTGGAGCCCCAGATCGAGGGAGATTATCAGTGGTCTTGTATGTCTTCCATTTCTTAATAATTGCTCCCACAGTTGATTTCTTCAAACCAAGCTGCTTACCTATTGCAGATTCAGTCTTCCCAGCCTGGTGCAGGTCTACAATTTTGTTTCTGGTGTCCTTTGACAGCTCTTTGGTCTTGGCCATAGTGGAGTTTGGAGTGTGACTGTTTGAGGTTGTGGACAGGTGTCTTTTATACTGATAACAAGTTCAAACAGGTGCCATTAATACAGGTAACGAGTGGAGGACAGAGGAGCCTCTTAAAGAAGAAGTTACAGGTCTGTGAGAGCCAGAAATCTTGCTTGTTTGTAGGTGACCAAATACTTATTTTCCACCATAATTTGCAAATAAATTCATAAAAATTCCTACAATGTGATTTTCTGGAAAAAAAGTTGTTGACGTTTACCTATGATGAAAATTACAGGCCTCTCTCATCTTTTTAAGTGGGAGAACTTGCACAATTGGTGGCTGACTAAATACTTTTTTTCCCCACTGTATGCATCTGTTGGTCACAGATTTCCCTCATGCAGCGTGACACCTCCTTTGCATTGAGTTGATTAGGCTGTTTATTGTGGCCTTGTGGAATGTTGTCCTACTCCTCTTCAATGGCTGTGCGAAATGGCTGGATATTGGCGGGAACTGGAACACGCTGTCGTACACATCGATCCAGAGCATCCCAAACATGCTCAATGGGTGACATGTCTGGTGAGTATGCAGGCCATGGAAGAACTGGGACATTTTCAGCTTCCAGGAATTGTGTACAGATCCTTGCGACATGAGGCCATGCATTATCATGCTGAAACATGAGTTGATGGCGGCGGATGAATGGCACTACAATGGGCCTCAGGATCTCGTCACGGTATCTCTGTGCATTCAAATTGCATCGATAAAATGCAATTGTGTCCGTAACTTATGTCTGCCCATACTATAACCCCACTGCCACCATGGGGCTCTCTGTTCACAACGTTGACATCAGCAAACCTCTCGCCCAAACAACGTCATACACGTGGTCTGCGGTTGTGAGGCCGGTTGGACGTACTGCCAAATGCTCCCTCAAAACTTGAGACATCTGTGGCATTGTGTGTTTGACAAAACTGCACATTTTACATTGGCCTTTTATTGTCCCCAGCACAAGGTGAACCTTTGTAATGATCATGCTGTTTAATCAGCTTCTTGATATGCCACACCTGTCAGGTGGATGGATTATCTTGGCAAAGGAGAAATGCTCACTAACAGGGATGTAAACACATTTGTGCACAGAATTTGAGAGAAATAAGCTTTTTGTGCGTATGGAACATTTTATTTATTATCTTTTATTTCAGTTCATGAAACATGGGACCAACACTTTACATGTTGAGTTTATATTTTGTTCAGTGTTTAAAGGCCTTTTTTCAGAAACCCAGCCTAAAACCCCAAAGAGCAAGCAATGAAGATGTAGAAGCAAGGGAGGAACCAGGCTCTGAGGGGTGGCCAGTCCTCTTCTCTCTGTGCCGGGTGGAGATTATCGGAGTACATAGCCATTGAGGCCAGATTGTTCTTCAAGATGTTCAGTACTCAACACTATCGACAGGAGTTGAGGTTCTACGTTCGGCAACATTAACCTTAAAGGCGTTGCATGGTCAATCTGACGTCTGCCTTGGCCAAACAGCATTTACTGCTATGCTGCCTCTGCAGAAGTCAGAGCAAACATACTTTTTGCGCTTCGTGGAGCAGCGCAGAGCTGTTGTGAAGGAAGTTGTCAAGGAAGTGAGTTTGTGATTATACAGGACCTCCCGCCCTCACCTTCCGTCAACCAATCATGTCAATGCGGAGCTATACGGAGTCCTCCACATTGTTAAAACATTTGTACGACAACATTACAGAAGGTTTCATACTGCAAAGCGTTTAGACCAAAAAGGTCTTCATCAAACAGCTTTAGGGGCCTTTTTCCACTGACCTTCTCAGCAGCCAAGTAGGCTATGCATGCACATACAACAATACACCTGACCAATATTATCACTAGTTATATATCATGGCTTCTCATGCGTTACTGCTTGATTAAACAATGATAGAATTAACATATGATATGCTGTTTCCTTTTCTCATTCACCCAATAAGAAATAGGTAGGTTGGAAACCTATCAATTCCTGTAATCTTTGGTCTGTGTTCACCAGGCAAACACATCAGGCTTGTTCCACTGACCAATATTGTCTTCTCATAGAATACAATTACTTTGATTTGGTCTCATAGACATGTGTAAAATATTGCTATTGCTATTGACTGGGACCAATGTTAATAAATGTTCATGAAATCACTTTGTAGTTGTTGATCAACAGAGGCAGAATTTGGCCTGCTTTTGGATTCATATTATATGGGTCTATGAAACTGGCCCAGAAAGTGAAAATGGTATCAATAATCTTGTGGAAATGTTATTACGAAACTGATTACTCTTGTATCGATCCATCCGTTTGAGAATGCCCTGACTCTTGTATTTGCTACAGAGACAGACAGACAGACAGACAGACAGACACAGATGGTACAGAGGTGCTAAGGAAGCACAGGGTTTATTTATTCGGAGCTGCAGGACACAGTGGGTTTGGCTTTACATTCTGTACACTCAGCACTGTAATGTACAACAATAGCAGGAAGATATCATCCCTCGTTCTCTCCTTCTCTTCTCCGCTTTCCATCCTCCTTTCATCTCCTTCTTATCCTCTCTCTCTTCACTTCCCACCCTCCACCACCAGCCAAATACACACACTATGTCATAAAGAAACAAACCGATCATGAGAGGAACAAAGTGCAAACATTTGTGTGCGTGTCGTCTGGGGGATCAGGCACTTCTGATTTTCAATTTGTACAATTATTTCCGAATAAAATAATAACAGGCCAAGACGAAATGTGTAAGGACAATTGTTTACTGTAATGAATTATTTATTCTTCCTTAAAATAAGACATATCAAATTCCAAAGCCAAAGCTGTTCTTCCCTTTTGTTCGGGCGTGTAGGAAGGCTTCCCATTGTGTGGTGACGTGTGGTCCCTTTACCAATTACTCTACCAGAGCCCATGCACCTCAATAGTCTAACATGGCTTCCTCTCCTCGTCTCCTTTCCTTCATCTGCACTGGATTGGTTAAAGCTTATTTCCTGTAGAAAAAGGTCATATATCTGCCAGGATTCCTAAGCTTTCCTTTAGGATCAGTGAAGATGAAGAAAAGGAGGAGAGAAAATTCCCCATTGAGACTATCGAGATGCACCCATGGTCATGATGGCAACACAAACACAAAACAGCACCGGCTGATTGGATATTACATCACAGTAATATTACTTTAATGTCTGACGTAAAACAATAACATATTTACTGTTAAAACATCTTAATTGGTATATAAATGGTGCATTACTGGTTTGACAAATCTCCTTTTGCTCAAGGTCAACAGGGTGCCGGTGGTGCACTCTTTGGGAAAAGTGCAGAAAACAAGATAAGTATTGTAGTTACAATTCTAACTCCACAGTTGTGTGTGTGTGTGTGTGTGTGTGTGTGTGTGTGTGTGTGTGTGTGTGGTGGGGGGGTAGGGGGGGGGGGAGCCTGTTGTATGCAAACACATTTGTTTGATTGTGACTTAGGTGTAGCATAGCTGCAGACTCAAGTTTAATATGTGATTGAATAAAGACCAGGCAAATCCCCCTTCCTCCTCCAAATCTAATATGGCAACAATAACACAAATACACAACTGAACTAGATCTTTGGCCTGAGGGTATACAAGGCAATATGCACATTGTGTCTTGAGGTTGGTGATGTTGTTGGTTGCATGTATGTTTATAAGTGATTAGAAGAGTGGGAGGGGAAAAGAAAGGCGAAAGAGACAAAAAGAGAGAGGGGGTAAAGAGAGAGGAAGAAAATGAACAGATACAGAGTGCATTTGAGTGTGAATGTGAATTTATGCAAGGATTCAATAAAAAAGAAAAGAAAAACAGCAACAACAAAGATCCCATCTTGTATTTTCTGTGGTAGTCTTTCTTAGACAGTGGATCCCCTGAATTAGCTAGTTTTTTCTTATTCATCAACACCGTTAGTGGCTCTTCTCTACTCCAGCGATCCTGAGGGTAAGTGAAGTGTCTGAGCATTGTTCTCAAAACGTCTTTGCGTCATTGAACGTCCCTCCAATAATTCCCCATGGGTCTCAGGCCCGGGTCATGGTCAGCATTTCCCCTAGACTGACCATGGTCTTGGGTTGGGTGCCTCCGGAAGACTGACAGCTGGTCAGGCCGGGTGTAAACCAATCAGCAGTGAGGAGAGCCTCCTCCTCTGTCTGTGTGTGGCGCCACACAGAGCCATGGCCACTAGGGGGCAGAGTTTGACATGGAGTCCACTGAGTTCACACTGCAGGAAGACACGCGACTGTTGGTGATGGACACCTCGGGGTGCTGGAGGGTTGAGAGAGAGGGAAAGAGAGTTTGTGTCGTCTCAGTATCAGTGTGTGGATGTAACTGTGTAGTGTGAACTCTGTGTGAGACTGAGTATGTTGGTGTGTGTGTGTGTGTCCTCACATGTCTTCTGAAGATCCTGTCCAGCAGGCTGCGTCGGGGAGGCTCGGGGAGTGTGTTCCAGTCCAGATCTGGGGGTCTGGTCCCCTGGGGCCCGAACACATTCAGATCACTGAAACACTCTGTGTCTATCATCTATACACACACACACACACACACACACACACACACAGAGACAGACAGAGACAGAGACAGAGAGAGATGGTGTAAGGACAGTATATGACTGCCACTGACAGACAAGACCACCAATTATTCAGTCTTTCAGGTTACCTTGCAGACTACCTCTCAGAAGAGGCCAGAGGAGAGGGAAAGACGTCCCAGTTAGTTCACCCACCTCGTGCTGCCATGGGATGGACACGCAGCCTGTAGAGAATTTGAAGTAGAAGTCGTTGTCAGTTTGGTCCAGATTTACTCCCTTGACTGTAGAGAACTGCTCAATGTCCAACACGTCCTTACAGTACACCGCCCGGGGCTGAGAGAGAGAAGAAACGCACAGAGGAAAAGAGGGAGAAGATACAGAGGGAGGGAGGAGTAAAACGTTTGAGAGTCTTCATTTGGAGTAGAGGTAATCATCCCTGGTGTAAATAACATATTCCCCCAGTCCTGAATGTAACTGATTGAAACAATTGGAACAGTTGGTTGGTTCCCATATTAAACACTTCCTGGTGTTGTTTCCAGAGCTGAAGAGGGACCAGAGTTGCCATCCTCCTCCTCCTCCTCCTCCTCCTCCTCCTCCTCTACTTACATCAGGTACAAAGGAGGGCTCCTGGATGCCTGCCTCTAGTCTCTTAAAGTTGATGTTCCTGAAGAAGCAGTGAGCCTTCACCCCCGCTGACCCCTCTGCTGTACAGCCCAGCCTGTGATTAGGATCTTTGGTCAACAGCTGGAGAGAGAGGGGGAGAGAGAGAGAGAGAGAGACGGGGGGAGGGAGAGAGAGAGAGAGAGAGAGGGGGAGACGGGGGGGCGGGCAGCGTCGAGGGGGGGGAGGGAGAGAGAGAGAGAGAGACGAGAGAGGGAGGAGAGGAGACGAGAGAGAGAGAGAGAGAGAGATGGGGGAGAGAGCGAGCGGGAAAGGGGGAGAACGAAACGGGGGGAGAGAGAGAGAGAGAAAAACCAGGGGAAAGGAGAGAGAGAAAAACGGGGAGAGGGGAGCGAGCGAGACGGGGGAGGAGAGAGAGCGGCGGAGAGAGAGCGAGACGGGGGAGCGAGGCGAGACGGGGGAGAGAGAGAGAGAGCGAGACGGGGGAGAGAGAGCGAGACGGGGGGGAGAGAGCGAGACGGGAGAGGGAGAGAGACGAGACGGGGGGGAGAGAGAGAGAGACGGGGGGGAGAGAGAGAGAGAACGGGGGGGAGAGAGCAGAGAGAAAGGAGGGGGAGAGAGAGGAGAGGGGGGGAGGAGAGCGGAGACGTGGGAGAGAGAGCGTACGGAGGGAGGAGAGCGAGACGAGGGGGATGAGAGAGAGAGAACGGGGGGAGAGAGAGAGAAGACGGGGGGGAAGAAGGAAAAGGGGAGAGAGAGAGAACGGGGGGATAGAGAGAGATAGGGGGGGAGATGATTTGACGGGGGGGAGATAGGGCTATACGGGGGGAATAATATCTGATAAGGGAGAGATATCATACTTGGAGGATGAGCGGACGGGGGAGAGAGAGGAGACGGGGGAGAGTGAGAGAGAGACCGGGGGAGAGAGCAAGACGGGGGAGAGAGAGCGAGACAGGGGAGAGATTATGCAATGTACAGTCGGTCATTTTCAAATATCATGAGATCAGGTACTCAGGGTAACTACCCAATACAGTGTGAGGTTTCTGATGACACTAACTAGGCCTACGTCTTGTCAATCAATCAATGGGCTCTCACCACCCTACAGATGGCCTTGGTGTCCTCTGTAAACTTGTCGCTGTACTCCTCCTCTTCCTCCTGCACCCTCTTCTCTACCTCTTCCCTCTTCACTCGTTCTTTGCGTGCGCGGAAGGGTGAGCGTCCGGCGGTCATCTCGTAGATGAGACATCCCAGCCCCCACCAGTCTGGACTCATCCCATAGCGCTCATTGTTGATCACCTCCGGAGCTACACACACAGCAGAGTACAACAGATTTGATGATAATATCTTCTTTGTATGGTAAAAAATGTGTCCGGTTTTTGTCCGATGTGTATATCCTATGTGTATTGTATTCTGATGCATTATAAATGAATTATAATGTGTGGTAATAACATATGAAGGTGAGCTGTCTTACCCATGTAGCCCACTGTTCCCACTCTGCCTCGTATGGGGTCCCCTTCAGGCACTTTGATGGCCAGGCCCAGATCTGAGATCCGGATGTGTCCTACAGCACAGGGGCAGAGAGGTCAGGGGTCAAAGAACAGTCCTATTTAACAGAGAGCCTCTCTGAGTTCAAATACATAATCCCAGTAGTTAGGCTACTGTACAGTAGTAAGAGAAACTCACCGTTATCATCTAATAGAATATTCTCTGGTTTTAAATCCCTGAAAAAAAATAAAAACCAACGTTTATTTGGGGCATTTGACATTGGGACTAAAACCAATGTGTTGACATCACGTGATCTCATGAGACATTGGTATAGTGAATGACAATCAGAAGAATCAACTGCTAATTTTGCTAAAGGTAGGAGTAGGTAGAAGTTAGTTGCCCCCATCTGATCCTAGATTTGTTGCAATGTGAACCTAAATCTGTGTTAAGGGAAACTTGTGAGGAATCTGGTGAGTGTAGGTGCTATGATAAAAAGCTGTCACCTGTAGACAATGGATTCCTGGTGTAGGTGGTCCAGGCCGCAGCAGATCTGGGCAGCATAGAACTGGACCCTGTCCTTCTCAAAGCCTGGAGTCCCCATGCTATAGATGTGGAACTTCAGATCTCCTCCATTCATTAAGGTCAACACCAGACACAGAGCATCTTTGGTCTCATAGGCATATGCTAAACTCACCTAGATGGAGAGAGAGAGAGAGAATAAAGTGAAAGAGTGTCTACATGTATTGTATGGTCATGTGTCCAAATAATAGGAAGAGACTCACAACAAATCTGCTGTTGACCTTCTCTAGTATTTGTTTCTCGTTAAGGGCCATGGACTCTCCTTTCCTCTTCTTAATCCTCTTCTTCTCCAGCTTCTTGCAGGCATACATCTTCCCTGTGGCTCGCACCTGGCACGCACACACCTGAGAGAACACACAGTATTATATCATAGGCCAGTTCATCTCACACACAATTCTCTAATAATTCTCTAAATGGAAAATTGTGCCTCACCTCTCCGAATCCTCCCTTCCCCAGTACTCGGTACTGTCGAAACGTGTCTTTAGTTATTGGCTGCCTGAAAACACATCAGTCATTAATGTACAGCTGGATAACATAGTACCAGGCGCAGAGCTAGAGCGTCTCACCACAGAAGGGGAGGGGTGCTCTAGAGGGGCCCTTCTGACCAAATCAATTAAATGAATAGCTGGTATGTCCTATCATAAACGCAAACGCAAACTAGGCATCATCACTAGGGATGTTAACAGTAAGGCGTAACTGTTAGTCGCAGATTTTTTTTTACCTGTCGTGGTTACCGGTCTAGCTATAGGTTGATTTGCATAAATGAGTGCAAATAAATTTGTGCGTGTATTTTCATTAGTTCGTCATGTATCTTATTTTATCACATGCGCACCGCATACTAGAGCCCTGCATGGGCATCAATTTTAAGCCCGAACCCTACCCATGCCCACAACGTTCAGGCCCTACTCTACCCAGGCCCTACCCTGCTTCTGCTAAATTTAAGGCCCTGCCCGAAATGAGAAATAACTTCCTCCATTAGTAAATCCATTAGCTGCTTCTCTCTGTCCATCACTCGCTCCCTGCTCGCTCTGCATGCGTTCTGCTCATGGCGGCTCTAAGTCTGTGAGTATCCATAGCAACGGCTCCAGTTGGGCTGCTCTGCTCAAAGAAGATACATCAGACAGCAGTTAGCTGTTGGCTACTTTTCATCACTAAACTCCGACAAAACTCAAGGAACATTATTATTTTCTGTGAAATAATCTCTCCTGTTTTATATTTGATGAGGTTGAAGCACTTCTGACACCATGTTATGATCTTAGTCAGATATGACTCAACTGCGCAGCAGAGCACGAGCAAATGGCTCAGCTACGAAATGTTAGTGATCAATTTAGTGATACCGTACCCGGCCCTAACCCGATGTATAATGTCGGGGCCGTCGGGCTCGGGTCGGGTAACAGAGCCTAGTTTGAGTGTGCAGCGACAGCTCCTCAAACGTGTTCTTATAAGCCCAGTCAATGCACAACATTTCTACATGCAATCGAGTGTGATAGAGTTTTGATGTCCACTAAAAGAGGATCCCAGCTTTCTATTGCTACTATATTTATTTCTCAACTCATCTTAATATTAAGCAAATTGCAACTTATTAGGCCTACAACCAGAGTAGCCTATCTGGCATGGTTTGCAATCTGAGCTGTAGGCAGTCTGCATGTTGAAAATATATACTTAATTGTTTGTAATCTGGAAGTTTTACTTCATAGCCTATTGATTCAAAGTGGCCTTGCCAAAATCCAAACTTAGAAATGTGAATTATTTAATAAAGACTTCCTCATATGCCATTGAAACCAGCATTTATGTCCTGTTCTATTTGTTTCCACATCAACTTTCTTTCGTTGTCCAGAAGCCAGATGCACAATCCTAGTCATATTAGCAACCATCCTAGTTGTTGCATCTTTAGATTTTGCCTCTGTCATATGCAACCGCTCGCAGCAGATGCACTTTAGAATGTGTTTTTCCCTCGAATTGTTGCCAGTCCCAGGCCAGCGGGCCCCTCAAGGGGGTATAGCGACAGAAAGCTGTACATTGCTTTATAAAATAAGCAACACCAGCTCAGACAAATTCCAGGGTTTAATGAAATCATATAATATATCATATTATATATAGAGTACCAGTCAAAAGTTTGGACACACCTACTCATTCAAGGGTTTTTCTTAATTTTTTACTATTTTCTACAATGTAGAATAATAGTGAAGACATCAAAACTATGAAATAACACATATGGAATCATGTAGTAACCAAAAAAGTGTTAAACAAATCAAAATATATGTTATATTTGAGATGCTTCAAAGTAGCCACCCTTTACCTTGATGACAGCTTTGCACACTCTTGGCATTCTCTTAACCAGCTTCATGAGGAATGCTTTTCCAACAGTCTTGAAGGAGTTCCAACATTTGCTGAGCACTTGTTGGCTGCTTTTCCTTCACTCTGCAGTCTAACTCATCCCAAACCATCTCAATTGGGTTGAGGTCGGGGGATTGTGGAGGCCAGGTCATCTGATGCAGCACTCCATTACTCTCCTTCTTGGTCAAATTGCCCTTATACAGCCTGGAGGAGTGTTTTGGGTCATTGTCCTGTTGAAAAACAAATGATAGTCCCACTAAGCGCAAACCAGATGGGATGGACGTATCGCTGCAGAATGCTGTGGTAGCCATGCTGGTTAATTGTGCCTTGAATTCTAAATAAATCACAGACAGTGTCACCAGCAAAGCACCCCCACAACATCACACTTCCTCCTCCATGCTTCACGGTGGGACCCACACATGCAGAGCTCATCCGTTCACCTACACTGTGTCTCACAAAGACACGGCAGTTGGAACCAAAAATCTCACATTTGGACTCATCAGACCAAAGGACAGATTTCCACTGGTCTAATGTCCATTGCTCATGTTTCTTGGCCCAAGCAAGTCTCTTCTTCTTATTGGTGTCCTTTAGCAGTGGTTTCTTTGCAGCAATTCAACCATGAAGGCCTGATTCACACAGTCTCCTCTGAACAGTTGATGTTGAGATGTGTCTGTTAATTGAACTCTATGAAGCATTTATTTGGGGTGCAATTTCTGAGGCTGGTAACTGTAATTAACTTATCCTCTGCAGCAGAGGTAACTCTGGGTCTTCCTTTCCTGTGGCGGTCCTCATGAGAGCCAGTTTCATCATAGCGCTTGATGGTTTTTCGACTGCACTTGAAGAAACTTTCGAAGTTCTTGACATTTTCCGGATTGACTGACCTTCATGTCTTAAAGTAATGATGGACTGTCGTTTCTCTTTGCTTATTTGAGCTGTTCTTGCCATAATTGGTCTTTTACCAAATAGGGCTATCTTCTGTATACCAACCCTACCTTGTCACAACCCAACTGATTGGGTCAAACACATTAAGAAGAAAAGCAATTCCATAAATTAACTTTTAACAAGGCACACCTGTTAATTATTCCAGGTGACTACCTCATGAAGCTGGTTGAGAGAATGCCAAGAGTGTGCAAAGCTGTCATCAAGGCAAAGGGTGGCTACTTTGAAGAATCTCAAATATAAATATATTTTGATTTGTTTAACACTTTTTTGGTTACTACATGATTCCATATGTGTTATTTCATAGTTTTGATGTCTTTACTATTACAATGTAGAAAATCGTAAAAATTAAGAAAAACCCTTGAATGAATAGGTGTGTCCAAACTTTTGACTGGTACTGTTCATTTTTCCATGTTTTATGGTGTTAAATCTGGAATCCATTGCGGTATTACAACAACAAAGACGTTACTTTAAACAACCTTCACTGTTTTTTTCCCCTCAGAAATCATTGCACGCGTGATAGAACAGCAGAGTATGTACTACGATTTTTTTTTTACCACCATGCTGGATGCTCATTTCCTCATAACAAAAACAATAACAAATGCGCTTTGGCGGCCAGTGACGCCGTTGTGCCTATTGTGGATCTCAACTTTAAAGAATGCTTTTACTTTGGTTTTTGGTAGGCTACATCATCATTGAAAAATTAGGTGCTTGGGCCCTAGGGCGGTCGCACCCATGGCCCCCAAGCTAGCTCTGTGCTATTCAATAATCACTGAAAACATCAGTTTCTATTAGATTTTGTAGGAGTTTAAGCAGCACTCACCTCTCCAGCATCTTCCACTGTAGGAAACGGTCAAAGTACATGCTGTTCTGGTAGTCAGAGAAGGGAGCTCCTCTCAGGTAGTCATGGAGAGCCCTAAAGAACAGACAACAAACAAAAGGTTAAAGGTTAAAAGCCCTGAGACAACAGACAACAGCTTCAGTTACAGTAGGAGGTAAGCCAGCTGGTGGTCCAGTGTGTTTGTTCTTTAGCCAACTCCTCTCGGTGTTCCTTCATTGTCAAACGCAACCTCATCCCCAGGCCCTTGCACACATTGCATATACACCTGGTACAACAACCACTTAATTTCTCCCACTGTTACTAGTGTGTTAATCAAAGTCACCTTTGAAGCTTCGTTATGTCAGCAACTTGATAGAAATGATATAAGAGTTGGCTACAGCATATAGAGTATGGGACGAGGCTAGGGATAAGCTAAGGACAAGCTGTTTCTTAATAAGAATATCATAGTTGACAAAAAGGAGTGAGACCAAAGAAAGATTCCCTTACTTGCGACAGTCACTGAAGATCTCCTTGCAGGGGTGAAGCTCCAGGTTCTCTCTACACTGCTCAGCAAGGCTCTCTGCTGCTTCCACACACTCTGACGACTACACAGACACACGCACGCACACACACACACAAATGGGAATTAGTGTTGTAGGCCTAATCACCGAAGACGATGAGACAGCCTATAGGGAGGAGGTCAGAGACCTGGCAGTGTGGTGCCAGGACAACAACCTTTCCCTCAACGTCAGCAAGACAAAGGAGCTGATCGTGGAGTACAAGAAACGGAGGGCCGAGCACGCCCCCGTCCATATCGATGGGACTGTAGTGGAGTGGGTCGAGAGCTTCATGTTCCTCTGTATCCATATCACTAAGGAATTAACATGGTACACACACACACACCAACACAGTCGTGAAGAGGGCACGACAACGCCTCTTCCCCCTCAGGATGCTGAAAAGATTTGGCATGGGCCCTCAGATCCTCAAAAGGTTCTACAGCTGCACCACTGAAAGCATCTTGACTGGCTGTATCACCGCTTGGTATGGCAACTGCTTGGCGCTACAGAGGGTAGTGCGTACGGCCCAGTACATCACTGGGGCCAAGCTTCCTGCCATCCAGGACCTCTATACCAGGCAGTGTCAAAGACTCCGGCCACCCAAGTCATACACTGTTCTCTCTGCTACCGCATGCAAGCGGTACCAATGCACCAAGTCTGCTAAATAGTTAACAAAATAGTTGACAAACAAACATGTTATATAGCTCTAACAGTTGTTGACCTATCTACATTCATCAATCCCCCTACAAAGACTCACTCACCTGTTTAGTGAGGAACTTCCCAATGATTTCACCTCCTCTGCTTTTCCGTTTCTCATCAGGCGCCAGCTCATAGTCGTCCTGAAAGAACACAACATCATTATACACTTACAGTTCATAATATAATAATAGCTCCAAATAGTATTTGTTTTCTTTGAAAAACTTAATGCACTATCGTTTTATCTTGCCCAGCATAATTCAACCAATGGAATAGTCCCAAAACTGCAAACCGCATCCAACTGGCATCCTGGGTATGCAACTATAGTATTTGAAAGAAAAAAACATACTATTTCGAGCCAGGTGTGACTGGACATACAATAATATTCCATAATCAGGGGCAATGTATGGACGAGATCATGTTTTGAATGACATTATTGTGTGGCTTTCAGTGTTGTGCAAACATGCAGCATGCGACTAGACCAGAACAGTGTGGACTGCCTTGAGTTGAAATGATCAGCCATTATCTATATCCTTAGCACCTCCAGTATTTATCAGCCAGGAGTGCGAGAGCACTGAGTGGTACAGCATTGCTAGGGGCCGGGGCATAGTCTCGTGGTGAGTAGGTGTTAATCCTTCACTCCCTGATCATTCTCTCGCCTCTCTATTCTATTAGCATTTTGCTACACCCGCAATAACATCTGCTAAATATGTGTATGTGACCAATAACATTTTATTTGATTTGATTAAGCCTGTCGCATGCTTCCCAGTCAAAACAGTTTGCGCATATATTATTATGAAATCTTGTGACGTCTTTGTTCGCTTTGGTGTTCGTCAGGTTTTTTTAGGCTGTTCGACATAACAGATTTTTACGATATAGACAATTTTGACTTTGTGGCTGGGGTAACTAGTGGATGAAGTGTTTGTTGTCATTCAATGAGACGACTAGTTTTCATGATTTTTTTTTTAACTTGAGAAATACTGCTCCAAACATCTTAGTTAGATGTAAAATTATGCGACTAAAAATGTCTAAATTAATTACAGATTTCTTGGTTTATCTTAGATTCATTCTGACTATTTTGAGGAAGGCGACGCGAACGTCTGTCAGTCGCATGCCTTGCATACAGACGTCTGTGTCGCCTAACTGAGTTCTGCTAGAAGCAAACCGAACCTATTACGCAGCGCCTTTATGCAAGACTCTCCACTAGCCCACCTGCCCTGAAACACACACAAACACCTCTTTAACCCACAATCTGTTATTAACAGACACACTCCCTCTCTGACACACACGCTGCCTGGGACCCCATATGTGACCCTGTGTTGCCTGGCAACCACATAGTCAACACGGCAGGATTCCGCGAGGTCCTTTAGTGTCAGTGTGTCCCCCCCAACACACACACACCTAGAACTTCTCTCCTGACCCTGGCTGTGGCCCTCTATATTGGTCTACTCTGCTCTGAGACACAGACAGAGAAAGAAAGGCATAGAGTGAAAAGGACATACTTCTGCCATTAGAGCTGTTACTCTGTCCTGTGTGAGTGTGTAAGTCTGCCAAAAGGCCAAGGGGGCGTTTCCATTTCTCTTCGGCTAACCCCTTCGGCTAACAATTGGGTGGCTCATTCTGTGTGAGTGTGTGTGTGTTGTGTCTTACAATGCAGTCTCTTGCCAACAATAGCCCATCATAATTCGGCAGCATTCACACATACACCCCTCCCTCCTGCACTGACGTCAGAGGAAACACAGGGACCCCCAGGCGCATTCCTTCTGCTGTTACACATCTCTCTCTCTCTATCGCTAGCTACTGTGCTATTTTCCCTCACTAACACCCTAGCTTATACATTAGAAGCACATGGACACACACAAAAAATACAACACACAAACATTCCTTTGGACATTGTTCATACAGTGAGGGAAAAAAGTATTTGATCCCCTGCTGATTTTGTACGTTTGCCCACTGACAAAGACATGATCAGTCTATAATTTTAATGGTAGGTTTATTTGAACAGTGAGAGACAGAATAACAACAAAAAAATCCAGAAAAACGCATGTCAAAAATGTTATAAATTGATTTGCATTTTAATGAGGGAAATAAGTATTTGACTCCTCTGCAAAACATGACTTAGTACTTGGTGGCAAAACCCTTGTTGGCAATCACAGAGGTCAGACGTTTCTTGTAGTTGGCCACCAGGTTGCACACATCTCAGGAGGGATTTTGTCCCACTCCTCTTTGCAGATCTTCTCTAAGTCATGAAGGTTTCGAGGCTGACGTTTGGCAACTCGAACCTTCATCTCCCTCCACAGATTTTCTATGGGATTAAGGTCTGGAGGCTGGCTAGGCCACTCCAGGACCTTAATGTGCTTCTTCTTGAGCCACTCCTTTGTTGCCTTGGCTGTGTGTTTTGGGTCATTGTCATGCTGGAATACCCATCCACGACCCATTTTCATTGCCCTGGCTGAGGGAAGGAGGTTCTCACCCAAGATTTGACGGTACATGGCCCCGTCCATCGTCCCTTTGATGCGGTAAAGTTGTCCTGACCCCTTAGCAGAAAAACAACCCCAAAGCATAATGTTTCCACCTCCATGTTTGACGGTGGGGATGGTGTTCTTGGGGTCATAGGCAGCATTCCTCCTCCTCCAAACACGGCGAGTTGAGTTGATGCCAAAGAGCTCGATTTTGGTCTCATCTGACCACAAAATTTTCACCCAGTTCTCCTCTGAATCATTCAGATGTTCATTGGCAAACTTCAGACGGGCCTGTATATGTGCTTTCTTGAGCAGGGGGACCTTGCGGGCGCTGCAGGATTTCAGTCCTTCACGGCGTAGTGTGTTACCAATTGTTTTCTTGGTGATTATGGTCCCAGCTGCCTTGAGATTATTGACAAGATCCTCCCGTGTAGTTCTGGGCTGATTCCTCACCGTTCTCATGATCATTGCAACTCTTGCAGGGAGCCCCGGGCCGAGGGAGATTGACAGTTCTTTTGTGTTTCTTCCATTTGCGAATAATCACACCAACTGTTGTCACCTTCTCACCAAGCTGCTTGGCGATGGTCTTGTAGCCCATTCTAGCCTTGTGTAGGTCTACAATCTTGTCCCTGACATCCTTGGAGAGCTCTTTGGTCTTGGCCATGGTGGAGAGTTTGGAATCTGATTGATTGATTGCTTCTGTGGACAGGTGTCTGTTATACAGGTAACAAGCTGAGATTAGGAGCACTCCCTTTCAGAGTGTGCTCCTAATCTCAGCTCGTTACCTGTATAAAAGACACCTGGGAGCCAGAAATCTATCTGATTGAGAGGGGGTCAAATACTTATTTCCCTCATTAAAATGGAAATCAATTTATTATCATTTTTGACATGCGTTTTTCTGGATTTGTTTGTTGTTATTCTGTCTCTCACTGTTCAAATAAACCTACCATTAAAATTATAGACTGATCATTTCTTTGTCAGTGGGCAAACGTACAAAATCAGCAGGGGATCAAATACTTTTATCCCTCACTGTACCTGTCCATCAATTATGAACTTTTCAAATGACCCAACAAGAGTATTTGGGTGATGGAATCTCAATATCTTATTTCATTATTTTCCCGGTTCCCGGTTCTCTCTCTTTCTCCAAAAATGCATCTGCCGCTGACCCATTCTTGTATGTGCGCATTTTTTGTGTATGCATGTGTGGCGAGGGTAGTTTCCCTCAGAGTGTGATGGTCATTTTTAGGTTGGTGGGAAGGGGTGAGAACAGGACGGGGGTCTGACCAGAAACAATCCTCTCATTCTGTCCAGTCACATGCCTACAGTGATATTTTGGGCTTTACTCGAAAACTGAAATGTGTCATGTGCGAGGCATTCCGTCTAGACACAAGAAAACAGGGGGAGAAGGTTAGGGGATTACTATTGGCTTCTGGTTACCATTGGCTTCTGGTTACTATTGGCTTCTGGTTACTATTAGCTTCTGGTTACTATTGGTATTTGATTCGGATTGTTTCTTCTCTGACGATTAGAGGCATTTTCACATCTAAAACCTGTAATCTGGGACACTGTGTCTAGACACTGAGTAAAGGGGAGGAGGCTGCTATTATAATCACTACTCAATTTGATTGTCTTCTCTCAGTCAACTGAGCATGACTAGTGCTTTTTGGATGACTGTTTAATCCAAGTGAATGCATTTAAAAGTGTGTGTGTCTGTGTGTGTGTTACCATGGCGTCCAGTAGGTGGATGCATCGCAGCAGTTCAGGTCTGGTCTCACAGTAGAGGCGAAAAAGCAGTCTGCCGATGGGCTGTTTCTCACACAGGCTCATGTAGTCCCGATCTGCCAGAAACAAACACACACACACAAACACTAGTATCTGGTCTGTAGAAATAACACACATTTGGAAAGACCCAGGCACGTTTACAATCACTTACATTAACAGCACTGCAGCAGCGTGACACATATGTAATACTTGCACCCACAAGTTTGTTTTACTATCCTTGTGGGGACCAAACAATTGAGTCACATTCAAAATCCCATTTTCCTTAACCCCTAACCTAACCCTAAACCTAAAATTGCTTTTGCCTTGTGGGGACTGGCGAAATGTCCCCACTTGTCAGAATTTTCCTTGTTTTACCATCCTTGTGTGAGGACTTCTGATCCCGACAAGGATAGTAAAACCAAAAACACACACACACACACACACACAATGATGTACCGATGCTGTTGCCCAGCTCAGTGCACTGGCTGATGTGGGGGAAGCGAAGGATCTCCTTCCATTTCTTACTCCTCCCTTTCCGCTTCCCTCCTCCACCTACAGAGAGAGAGAAAAGAAGGGATGAGTGGATGAGAGGAACAAGCCATTTCAGAGAGGCACAAACACATACTATTAGTTTCAGTATGTGAGAAAGAGAGAGAGAGCTCTGCAACTAACAAATGAGTTCAGCTCATTGCTCTGAATGTGTGTATGTATAATTTTTACATTACGTCTCACCTTCTCTTTTCTTTTCTTCCTCTGTGTAATGCTCCGGGGAATGTGGCCATCCCGAACCAGAACAGTGTGTGTGTAACAGATAATACATCCCAACCAATCAGATTCCCATCGGAACACAGAGCTTGGCCAAAGCAGATTCTATCATACTGAATAACCATGCATATGTTTCCAGCACACACACACTCATCAATATCAGATGATTAGCCTTGTTTGATACTGAAACGTTGCTAATGTTCGATAGGTTTCCCCTTCCCATTCTCACACTCAGGTTGTCTAACATGAGGGAGATGGAGAGAGATGGAGAGGCAGTGAAAGACAGACAGACAGACATCTTTAAGCAATAATCCAGGAATGCTCCAACAAGTACGTCATGTGTTTGCCTCTCACTGTGTGTGTGAATGCTTTAGCAGCTTTCACATCCCTTTCCCCTTCACTAACCCCCAACTCTTTCTCACACACCGACTGCTGCCACAGACCTTCTCCTCAGTCCTCAGTCTGGCCTGGGTTACACAATGGCCATGCCTCCTCCCCTCCCATCTCACTGATCTGACATTGACTGGATAGGTGAAAGCTATGTAGTGGAACACTTGCGGAGGGAAGCCTTTCAGGAACAACTCTGAGAGGCATAACTAGGGCCCAGAGATTTTCCTGCTTGGGTCACATGGTCCCCAACCATGGGATATAATGGAGATGTAACTCCAACAAGTCAACAAGTCAAACCTATTAGTGAATTATTAACCCTGACCTTAAACATTCTAAAATAACTATTGGGCATTAGCAACAGTAACTGTGACATTTTAACCCAGAGCACTTCCCTAGTTACATTCAGACAACTTCTCAGAGAACAGAAATACACCCCTTTATGATTCAATGGGTAAAACAATGAACAAGTAGACATGTAGACATTGAGAGGAGAGGCGAGGTTATTTCTTGTGAAGGGTCAATCTCAGGCCTATGTTATGTCTAAATAGTGGCCCTCCACCCTGTCTTTCAATTCAACACAATATGTACTTGACCACAATACTACTTCTTCCTCCCTCTGAATCTACCCTACTCTCTTCCTCTCTCAATCTCTCCCTTCCTCCAACTCTTTCTAGCTCTCAGTCTGTCTGTCTTTCCTTCAATCGCCTCTCTCTTACCCTACCTTTCGCTCTTGTCCTCTCTTTGTCTTAATCTCTCCCTCTTTCTCAGTCTCACTCTCGTCTGATTCAACCCTACGGAATCATCACTATTACATGCTGACTTCAGGTCAGTGACTGAACTGCACTTCTGCTTTCATGGCCAATCAGTGACCTCTTTCCCTGCTACTGACCAATCAATTACCTCCTTCTAGGATCATTTAAGGTCACAGGTTTATAACCTTTTGTTAACAAGACTAACAACCTTCATGTTGTTTCCTAGTAGAGAAAATACATTCTGGGTCAGCATTCACATATCTGGGACGCAGTAAAGGATGGTGCATTTGGGGCTGTTGAACTGCACTTGTCAGGAGTCAAATGAATTATGTTTTTATTTTGCATATGAGTTGTTCCCCCTGTAGAGAATTGGAATACATGTTTACGCAAGTGTATCAAATGCAGCGCCATATCTGCCACATTGTTTTAGCAAAACATGTCTAGGGACCATATAAATAGATGTCTAATTCTATGGTTAGGACAATACAAAGAACCAGAAACGTACCCTTTGAGAAAACTACTACACTGATCAAAGCACAATGAACAAGAGTGTGTCTGTGGGCACATTAAACCTGAAATGTATCTGATTGACTTTTACTTTGGTGTTCAGCGCTGCACACCACTGAAACAAACAGGGACAAAGTCTACAGGAAGAAACAGGCTCAGGACTGCTCCCACAGAGGTGTGTGTGTGTGTGTGTGTGTGTGTATGTGTGTGTGTGTGTGTGTTTTTAAAGCATTTTAACTGCTTGGCAAACTCTAGTAGTACCTATGTCAGTGCAGTTAATTGTTAGCAGTAACGGACAGTCTTAGAATCTCGTCCAAGAATACAGTCGGTGCTATAAGACTTGCTGACAGGACTTAAGAAACAGCAGAACCAGGGACAAAAATTTTAGAACATTACAAGCAAGCAAGTACTGCCAGCGAAAAGAGCCCAAACTAAATATTGGGTTGAGGGGCGGGCTCCATGAACTCACTTCACAGATTAAAAACAACATTAAAACAATAAACAAGTCAGACACAGAGCCTCACAGACTAGTGCTGAGCGATACGTGCTTTTCTGAGGTCGGTTCGGTTTCAGTTCGATAAAAAATAAAAAAACTTTTTTTGATTTCAATAATTTTTTTAAACATTAGATACACTATGCATTACGTGCTTTGAATGCTGTATGGTAGTGACTGCCCATTACTGCTTATCACTTATTAACCGTAATTTATTCACATTACTTTAATAAAATATTTCAGTTGTGTATTTTACATTTGTTTTATTTGATGACTATTATTTCATTCTAAGTCATCATCAGCTATAGAGCTGCTGCCTATGCTGTCTGACAAAATCACTATTTTAGTAGTTCTTCAAAGTAAATAAGGCATACTTTTATGACTGAATACCAACTATCAAATCACTTAGATCATATATTTTCAGGTAGCGATATCGTTTGTTCTACTGTCTCTTCTCTTCCTCTCCGTGTCTGCCCCACACAGACCAGACAAGTAGAAGGTATGGATTATGGTAATTGTAGTTTAATGACCATGTTTTCTGAAAATATTGGCCTGTTGGAACCTACAACACCTTACTACATCAAACAGTTCGGGCTTGATCTTATTTATCTCTAGCGAAACTGCGCATTGAGCTCACAGAAAAAAACCAGAACGAAATGGAATTCAAACAACTGAACCGACGTTGGTCAATTAGTTGTTTAAAAAAAGAAATCGCTCAGCACTATCACAGACAGGAATATATTAGGGGTCCCACTGTAAATTACACACTAAAGTGTGACAAAGACACATTAAAGACATTACCAGTATAATTACAGTGTAGTTACAGCACCTTCAAAAAGTATTTACACCCCTTGACTTATTCCACATTTTGTTGTGTTACAGCCTGAATTCAAAATGGATTACATATATTTTTCTCACCCATCTACACACAAAACCCCATAATGACAAAGTACAAATATGTTTTTAGAAATGTTTGTAAATGTATTGAAAATTAAATACAGAAATATCTCATTTACATAAGTAGTCACGCAATTTTTTTTTCTCTCCCAATGATGGAGACCACTGTGCTCTTGGAAACTTTCAACATTCTAGAAACAGTTTTATACCCTTCCCCAGATATACTGTATGCCTCATTACAATTCTATCTCGGAGATCTACAGACAGTTCCTTGGACTTCATGGTATAGTTTCTACTCTGACATGCACTGTCAACTGTGGGACCTTATATAGACAGGTGTGTTTCTTTCTAAATCATGTCCAAACAATTGAATTGGCCACAGGTGGACTCCAATCAAGTTGTTGTGACATCTCAAGGATTATCAAAGGAAATTGGATGCACCTGAGCTCAATTTGGAGTGTCATAGCAAAGGGTGGTGAATAATTATGTAAATTAGATATTTCTGTATTTCATTTCCAAAAAATTAGCTACAATTTCAAAAAAACGTATTCACTTTGTCATTAAGGGGTATTGTGTGTAGATGGGTGAAGAAAAACATATTTCATCCATTTTGAATTCAGGTTGTAACACAAAATGTGGAATTAGTCAAGGGGTTTGGACACTTTCTGAAGGTACTGTATATGCAATTACAGCATGAAATTAAACTATATGTAACTACATGGTAGCTGTGTAACCAAAGAATGGTCTCTTTCTGGGAACATATGATATTTTACAATAACAACCTAGCCAGGGGTATGTAGCAGTCAATGCTACCTACCGTAGACAGGAAGACTGCTTACCCGTACCCATTATGAAATATTCCATCAACTCTGCAGAGTGGATTCGTAATCCTGCTGATAAATCACTTCCTGTCTGTCTGTGAGTGTGTTTGAACCTCTCCTGCTGTCTGGGCCATAGTAGGAGCATAAAAGATGACGCCATTACTTCCACATTATTTATAATTCTATGTTACTTCCATGGCGGGCGTCCATTGCTGCTTAATGAAGGGGAAACATTGACATGAACATTCCAAGACTGCCTGGAATGGAATGCATCTGGCACTGTGTGATAGTGCTAAGCCTTTGTGGAAATATGTGAAACTATAATAAATGAATATGTTCAGATTTATAATCATAGTATAATGTTTAAAGACTTCCTCCAGTGATTTTTGTTGAAAAGCGATATCCCAAGTATAAATACAGTAAAGTACACACACTAAACGGTAATAAAATACGTTTTGAGCAAAATAGTGTTTTTTAGACAACTGCAAACTTCAAGGAGTAGTGCATTCAAGGTGAGTCTGATGGGAATCCGTGATGTCATCGGCCTCCCTTCTTGCATGAGGTACAATAGACAAGCAATAGAGAACAAAAGAGGAAAGCCCCCCCCACTTGTGCTATGTCATGACATACCTGGACCACCTACTGCCTTTTGTTAAGTAAATCAGGTGTTAAATGAGGTGAGAAGGAGACTGGAGTGAAGTAGGAACCCTTGGCGAGCACAGTGTCTGGGTTTGTTACTGTAGCTTTCTGTTTGACAAAGTTGGCTTGTAAAAGTATGAATAAAGTCATAAAAGTCTTGTGTAAACTTTCTTTATCCTCTCCCCTTTCTCTCTCTCCTCCTCTGTCAACCCATTCTGTCTCTCCTTCTATCACAGTGTATCACTCCCTCTCTCACTCACACACACACAAACATTCCGGTGAGAGTTCATTGCGTACAGAAACCCGTCAGTCTAATTTGTTCCATGCGGACTACTCCCTTTGTTTCATGTTTCTGGTTTACAGCTCTGACATCATCAACGTGAGCCAAGCAAAGTAAAAATGTCAGAGAGAACTACAGGTAACTGACTAAATAATGGAAACAATTGAGTAAATGAGGGATATAAAGTATATTTAAAGTAGGTGTTTCCACACAGGTGTGGTTCCTGAGTTAATTAAGAAATTAACATCCCATCATGCTTAGGGTCATGTATAAAAATGCTGGGCAGGCCATTATTTTGGCTACCATGGATATGCCCCCATATGATGACAATGCCCCCATCCACAGAGCACGAGTGATCACTGAATGGTTTGATGAGCATGAAAACAATGAACCCATATGCCATGGCTGTCTCAGTCACCAGATCTCAACCCAACTGAACACTTATGGGAGATTCTGGAGTGGTGCCTGAGACAGTGTTTTCCACCACCATGAACAAATCAAATCAAATGTTATTTGTCACATGATTCGTAGACCACAGGTGTAGACTAAAAGTGAAAGGCAGGTCCATTTCCAACAATGCAGAGTTAAAGATAAGAAATAAAATGGTGAGCCTCCTGTAGCTCAGTTGGTAGAGCATGGCGCTTGCAACGCCAGGGTTGTGGGTTCGATTCCCACGGGGGCCAGTATGAAAAATGTATGCACTCACTAACTGTAAGTCGCTCTGGATAAGAGCGTCTGCTAAAACGACTAAAATAAAAAATATAAATAGTGACACGAGGAATAAATACACAGTGAATAACGAATACAAATAAAAAGTTAAAATAACATAGCTATATATAGGGAGTAGAAAATAACATGGCTATATACAGGGAGTACCAGTACTGACTTGGTGTGAAGGGTTACAAGGTAATTGAGGTAGATATGTACTGTACATATAGGTAGGGCTAAAGTGACTAGGCAACACGATAGATAATAGACAATAGCAGCAGCGTATATGGTGTGTGTGTGGCGTCAGTATGCGTGTGTGTGTATGTGTGTTTTGGGGTGTCAGTGTAAATACAGCTCTGGAAAAAAGTAAGAGACCACTGCAAAGTTATCAGTTTCTCTGGTTTTACTATTTTTAGGTATGTGTTTGGGTAAATATAACATTTTAGTTTTATTCTATAAACTACTGACAACATTTCTCCCAAATTCCCCCCCAAAATCCCCCCCAAAATTCAAAAAACATTTAAAGCATTTATTTGCAGAAAATGACAACTGGTCAAAATAACAAAAAAGATGCAGTGTTTTCAGACCTCGAATAATGCTAAGAAAATAAGTTCATGATTGTTTTTAAACAACACAATACTAATGTTTTAACTTAGGAAGAGTTCAGAAATCAATATTTGGTGGAATAACCCTGATTTTCAATCACAGCTTTCATGCTTCTTGGCATGCTCTCCACCGGTCTTTCACATTGATGTTGGGTGACTTTATGCCACTCCTGGCGCAAAAATTCAAGCAGCTCGGCTTTGTTTGATGGCTTGT